CTACTCTAGGTTTTTTATTTCTCCATATATATCTTGTTATTGTCTTTTTTATTACCTTAAAATATACCTCTGGAAGTTTGATAGGAACCACTTGGAATTTATATAGGATTTTAGGGACTATCACCATTTTTAGCAAATTTATTCTTCCCATCCATGACAGGTTACTTCCTCATAGTTTCTTTAATTCCTCCTTAATTTCATTTAACAGGGATATATAATTTAATTTATATAGGTATTTTATTTGAAGAAGCAAGTTTCACCCCCAAATATTTTAGTTCTTTCTCTTTCCACACAAAGGGGAAAAATCTCTTTGTATCTTTTCTTTTTCATTATTTGGGAGATTTATATTCAATACCTCTGTTTTGGTAGGGTTGATTTTTAAATTTGACATCTCCCCATATTCCTTCAAAGATCTCATTAAATTAGGGAGTGTTATCCTAGGATTTCCAACATAAAACAATAAATCATCCGCAAAAGCGGCCACCTTATGTTCAGTACTTCCTATACATATTCCCCTAATATCTACATGTCTCCTTATTGTTGACAACAAAGATTCTAAAGATAAAACATACAACAATGGGGACAATGGGCAACCCTGTCTTGTTCCATTTGACATCTCAAATAACTCCGACATCTCTCCATTAACCATAACCACTGCAGAAGGCCTTTTATATAATTTTCCTATCCGATCTCTCATTTTAACTCTCACTCCCAAGGCTACCAAAGTGTCCATCATAAAACCCCAATTGACTCTATCAAATGCCTTTTCCCGCATCGATCAAAAGTACAACCACCCGGAGCTTATGTTTTTTACATTTTTGAATGAGCAACAAGGATCTTAACCCATTATCTCTGCCTTCTCTTCCTTGGACAAAAGCCCACCTGATCTCTATGTATCCATTCTGGCATTAAATCTTTCAGCCTATTTGCTAAGACCTTTGCGTATAACTTCGTATCTGTATTCAATAATGATATGGGTCTATAACTTGAACATTGGGAGGCATCTTTTCCCTCCTTATGAATAAGGACCACCTGAGCCTGCAGGGATGCCCTCCTCATTTCCATTTCTCCCCCTAAAGCATTCATATAGCTCTTCAATTTAGGCATCAACAGTTCAATATATTTTTTGTATTACCTCACGGTGTACCCATTTGGCCACAGACTTTTACCTGTCTTAAAGCTTTGTAATGCTATTTTTATCTCTTCCTGTGTACTTTCAGACTCTAGGGAGTTTAATAGTTCCTCATTTATTTTGGTAAATCTGCATTTTTTAAATATATCCTTCTCTTTTCAATGTTTACACTATCGTCGTTATTTATTGAGTCATGGGAAGCAATATTATATAACTTACTATAATAATCTTTAAACACCTTCGCAATATCTTTAGTTGAATAGACCAATGCTCCCTTGGTGTTTTTTATTTTATCTATATAATTTCTATTTTTCTCATTTCTATTTTTATTCCCTCTTTCTTTTTTATAACTTTTTGCTTAATCTCTTTAGTTATATTATTTTTATGTGGTTGTTCTAATTCAGCTAATTCCTTTAGGAGCCCACTGATTTTTTTCTCTCCTATCTCTTTTCTTTTTTGCCCCAATTGCGATAAGGATTCCTCTTATATATGCCTTATTAGCCTCCCATACTGTAGCCACAGACACATCTCTTGTTTCATTCTTCTCAAAAAAAATATCTTCATCTCTTCCCCAATCTTCCTATCAGTGTCCTGGTCCAGCAGCAGTGACTCATTCAACCTCCATAACGAGCCTCTTACCGACCTCCTCCATCATCCTAATTTCATTATGACAGGGGCATGATCCGAAAGGGACATTACTTCTATTATTACTCTAACTAACGACTCAATAGGTTGGTGATCTATCAATATATAATCCAGTCTAGAATACATCTCATTAGCATTTGAAAAGAAAGTATAGTCTCTATCCTTCATATGCATAATTCTCCAACTATTTACCAATTAACACTCTTTTATCCCTTTTTTCAATAATCTCAAGGGCCTACTCCCCTCCCTTTGAACAGGAAAAGTTGTGTCTATCTGTGGATCCATACATAAGTTAAAATCTTCCTTTAAAGGAAGTTAAAAATTCCTTTCAAAAATATCTCCGGCTTCTTGTTTGGACAATATATATTGACGATTGTACACTCCATATCCTGCAGTTTACCTTTCAAAAACAAGATCCTCCCGTCAGGATCGTTTCTTCTATCTTCCAGCTCAAATCTTATATTTTTTGCATATCCTATAGCTACTCCCTTTGCTCTCTTAGGGGAATCTGCATAATACCATGTTGGATAATATCTAGAATTCAATTTAACATTTGACTTTAACTCAAAATGTGTTTCCTGTAAGAATACCACTGAGATTGCTCTATGTTAAAGCTACCTGAATAATCTGAACCTTTTTCCCGGACAATTCAACCCATTCACATTATAAGTTGTAAACTGTAATTCCTCCATCTCAAATAAGCGGTTACTCCATTCTTCCATCCGATTAAACACACCGAAGTTCCCCATCTAAAGTGCACATTTTGTTTTTTCATCTGCTCTAACAGGGGCTTTAAAGTTCTCCTTCTCCTTAAAGTCTCAGGTGATAAGTCCGCAAAAATCTGTATACCTATTTCTCCATATTTAATGATTGATCTTCCCTTAATTTTTTTCCAAATTTCTTCTTTATCTCCACATTTCTGGAATTGGACAAATATATCTCTTGATTTCTCCTCTCCACTTCCTTGCTTGGGCCTTCCAATTCTATAAACCTCTTCTAGGTTAACTGATTCTTTTTCGGGTCTGCCCATTATGGAGTTTAGAATTTTACAGACTAGGCCTCGTAGTTCTTCCCCTCTTGGAAACTCCGGTACTCCTCTTACCCTTAGATTACACCTCCTATCCTTATTCTATATTTTTGTATAGCAATTTTTTTTGATCTTTCCTCATAACCACTATCCTTTTATCCAAATCAGCAATATATTGGGCATGGTTTTTAACTTTTTCCTCCATTTCCTCCACTTACGATAACATTTGCCCCAGATCTTTCTGTAAAGTTGCCATTTCTTGCTTTATTGTTTTTTCTATGTTTTTGAACATATCTGCCATCTCTTTTTTATTTGGTACTTGTAGTTCACTTTCTTGTTCTCTAATCTCCAGATTTCCTATTATTTGTTGGTTGCTACTTTTCAATCCCAGGGATAGTCTAGGGCTACCTTCCACACTCATTTCCAGTTCACTTTTTTCACCAACACCTTGAGGCCTTTCTGGAGTCACATTGCCTTGGGATGTATATTTTTTTATCGTACCAGTTTGAGACCCCTTTGGCCCATTACTTTTAACATTCTTATTCTTCATCTCTTCTGTGCGTATCACTTTCCCCACTTTAGGAACCAAACTTGGCAACCTCTCCCGTCATGCCTGTCTTCTCCCAACAGACCTCGGGGACCAGAACGGCCGGCCCTGCACAGCTCCCAGACACTGTCCTCACTCCTGTATCCGCTGCGCCACGGTAAGTCCCCGGCTCTCAACAAGCCATCACTTCGGGCAACTGGGGTGATGAGGAGATATCGGAGAGCACGGACAGCGTGCTTTCCTACGCCGCCATAGTTAGGCTCCTCCCACTCAACTTGATGGTATTCTCTCACTAGTAAATCGTATTACTAATAAATTACTAGTTAATAGTAAATCGGTCAGGTCTGAGTGTCAGGAACCTAAGGCCATCTATGCTAATTTTCATGTGCATGCTTATACTCATGAGCATAGATGTACATGTGCTCATACGTGTGAGCTAAAATGTAGAACTGGACTTGCAAGGAGAATGCTCATGCATAGTCAAGAGCCATGGTGCACATGTGCACGCAAAGGCATGCCACAGATTCTGGGACCTGGCGGCCTATTTGTACCAAAGGCCTGCATTGCTAGATTGTCTTCAGCTTTACCTTGTGACTCATTTTGTGTTAACCCTGCTCCATATGACTCTACTTTAGATTCCCCTTGCCTGCTTATCTGTGCTACTTATTCATGTTATCAACCCCAACATGGACTTTTGAATAAGCTTCTGCCTGCTGACTTTGTACGTTCCTGCCAAGCACATTATCAACCTCTGCCTGTCTCTGACCTAGACTCTGATTATGATTTTGTACCTATCTGCCTGGCTGGTACCAGACTTGGCTTGGGACCTGACTCCTTGCTTTTGATCATCCCACCTCGGCATCCAAGTCCAAGTTTGCTGCATCAGCTTCCTGGTAACTGCACCCTTCCGCTGCCCTAGCAGTCCTGGTCTCCACTAAAAGAGGTGCTTGGATGAGAATTGTGCAAGAGGCCACACTTGTCATCTCAAGCTTACTAACAGGAACGTGGCACTGAGCATTTAAGCCCTTTACAAGATAACTTAAAGTTGGTGACTGGGGACAAAAAGAAAAAAAATTCATTAACCACTTGAGCTCCGGAAGGTTTTACCTGCTTTATGACCAGGACATTTTTTGCTATTTAGCATTGCGCTACTTTAACTGATAATTGTGTGGTTATGCAATGCTGAAGATGACGTTCAGAGCACATTTTATGCCCAATTCATGCAAAACTCCACATAATCCCAAGGGGTTCACATACTTTTTCTTGCAACTGTATACCCAAATGAAATTTAAATAATTATTTTCACACAACTAGAGCTTTATTTTAGTGGTATTTTTATACCAAATTTTGGTGGTATTTGATCACCGCTGAGTTTTTTTTACTTTTTTTATTATATAAACACAATTGTGAAAAAAAACAATATTTTTTACTTTTTGCTATAAAAAATATCCAATAAAAAAAAAACATCAAAGGTCTTCATAAAATTAAGCTGCAATGTATTCTGTTACATGTATTTGGTAAAAAACAAATGCCAGTAAGTGTATATTGATTGGTTTGTGTGAAAGTTCTGGTGTCTACAAACTATTGTATATATACTGGAATTTTTAAGTATTTTTTTTTCTACTAGTAATGGTGGTGATCAGCGACTTATAGTGGGACTGTGGTGGTGTGGTGGGCAATCTAACACTGGCATTGGTTGGGAGGTAGACAGACTGACTAACACTGAATTCACCAGTGACACTAATACAGTGATCAGTACTATACACTGGCACTGTAATAATTATGCTGACTGGGAAGGGGTTAACATCTCAGGGTAATCAAGGGGTTAAGTGTGTGCCTAACAAGTGTTAATGTGTGTAATGTGTGCTGCTTGTGCCCTTTGTGTTTGCCAATACAAGGGCTCTGGGCTGTCACTAAACACAGCCGATCAGGAGGTCTCAGCCATGAAGCATTGGCTGAAACCTGCTGATAAAATCCTACTGTGTCCATTCACAGTCGGTGGATGGGGGTGGGGTGGGGGGCAGGCACGTGTGCCCTAAAGCAGGAAGAAGGAAGTGATGTACAGATAGATCGCTATGCCTTTAAGAGCCACCCGTCCGCAATAAAATGCGGGAGGGCAGTCCATAAGTAGTTAAATACCATCAACTTTGTGTAAAATGACTGGCATAAACTGGATTGTCACAATGCCAATGTAGAGCTTATATTTAAAAAAATAAAGTCTTTACCTAGTAACTACATACTGGTTAGTTTAACTTCTATAAGCAGAAAGATACTTGAAAGTTTAATAAAAGACCACATATAAACATTTTTGTTAGAAAACAATATTTTAAGCAACAAACAGCATGTATTCACAAAAGATGGAAGTTGTCACACATATCTGATTTCTTCTTCATAGATTTAGTAATAGCCTGCAATGCCAAGCTGCACTTTCTAAAGAAAGCAAAATAATTTCTTGTATTAAAAGAGATATACACTCCAGAGAGAAACATAGTTTTGTCCCTGTACAAATCATTAGTAAGACCTCATCATATGCAGTTCAGTTTTGGGCATCAGTTCAAAAAAAGAACATTGGGGAACTGGATAAAGTGCAGAGAAGGGCAACCAAACTGATAAAAGGCATGGAGGAGCTCAGCTATGAGGAAAGATTAGAGGAACGGAATTTATTCTCTCTTGAGAAAAGGCAATTAAGGGGGATATGATCAACATGTAGAAATATATAGGTGACCCATAGAGTGAACTTAGTTTAGAATTATTCACTTTTGGGTCATTACAAAACACATGGATGCACACGTTATATCTGGAGGAAAAGAGATTTAAAAAGCGATTCCACTTTTGTGGAGAAAAAACATTCCCCTCTGGGTGATCTATGTACACTTCAGGGTTTTTAACAGACCTTGTTGCAGATTCCCTCCATTTGTTATTAAAAAAAATATCCATTTGTTTGTCCATGTACAAATTAAAGGTGAATGGAAGTGATGTTTTCATTATTGATGAGCTGCTGCACATGCAGGGTACTAATGAGAAAAGTGGCAGGGTCTGAATCCCTTTAGATGTGATTAACCCTGGGAGTATCTCACCAAGATTGGAACTTTTGTTGCAGATGATGCAAGAGTGCCCAAAATATGATTTATACCCAAAATATGATTTATATCTTAGTACAGACTTCTGGGAAAATCAGTGAGCCAATCACACAAGCAGGAAATTACATTTCTGGAGGTTGTAACTAAGCCATCTGTGAAAAATACTCCTCCCTTTCTCCTCTCCTGAAACCTCCTGGAATATATGACATCATTTGCCAAGGCTTGGAAACCAGGAAGTAACTGAAGAATATACAAAAGAAAAAGTTTAAAACAAGTAAATATAATATACTTTTCAATGTATTTACCAACTCTAGCAGCATAAGGATTACAAATTGTTAATGTTCAGTGAGGGAGTGAAGTTCCACTTTAATTTAAATGATAAGTTCACCTTTTTAACAAAAATAATAAATGTAAATTTTTTTGCAGGTAAAAAAATGTGCATTTATTATTTTTGGCTGCAGGAGCCGGGAAACCATTGCACCTGCGATCAGCAGATCACTGGCGCCATGCAGGTCTCCTGAAGATCTGTCAGTATACCTGCTTGCCGTATGGAAGGTAGCGGCAAGCAGATATACTGTCAGGAAGAATCAAGGAACTACCACGGCACTCCACAGCTCTGTGGTAGTTCATTGAGAACTACAAGCTGATAGCCGATAAGGCTGTTGAGACTTGCAGTTTCTCATTCACAGAAGACTGTGAAGCTCCGCACGGCCACGTTTTTTTTTTAAATTTGACAGCGGAGGGAGAGAAAATACCCCACTAGCTGTCAAAGTGGGGGTTGGTGTATTTATTACATGTTACACCTTGAATATGGGTGTAACATGTTATGAAAGGTGAACTTATGCTTTCATTTACTAGTTCCATTAAATGCAATATATGCCATTTTGCTTTAGTTTCCAAAATATTTGTAATTCTGGTGCGCTGCTATGAGCAGTCACAACCTTCAGCAAATTATTTAGCCCAAGGGTGACTCCACTATCCTTTAAAGGATTCAGAAGATGGAATCTAGCTTACAATCTATTGGGAAATAAGGCTGAAATATACTCTGATAGAACGTACATTCTCCCAGGGCTGAAGAGAGTAAACCTAAGTAAGCAAAAAAAAATAAAAGGTGTCACAGAGTAAAGCCGGCCATACATGGGTCAAATTACAAAATAATTTTCTTTCGAAAATCTTCTCTAAGAATTTTTGTTCGAATTTCGCACCATTAGTGAGTCACAGAAACTACTGATTTTCGGGTGGCCATCGAATTTGAGTGGTTGAGCATGTTGGAAATTTTTGGGAAAAGGAACAAATTTTGAATCTATGATGGGATAATCGTGCAACAAATATAACTGAAAAAGAAATGAGCATGAGCGTGACCTGGACAGAAAAGAAAATTCTTGGCCATGAAAATTCTTTTCTGTAGCAACACAGGGTGAAATTGAAGGCTTGGTTGGTTGAATTTCGATATCAATGGTGGCACCATTAGATTACAAAATGCACGAAATTTCAGATTTTCTGAAGAAAATTCATTTGGAATTCGACCCATGTATGATCTTCATTAGGCAGAAGATTTTGAAACTTACTGTCTATTAAAAGGTGTACATGAAATATAATTCATCATATGGGAGAACAGTTGCCAACCTGCTTTTGGCACTTACTCAATTAATAGTTTATTTTGTAATGTAGATACTGTGAAAGAAGACCAATGAAAACTATTGTATAGAGGATGAGAAGTATATTTGTTCCAAATTCAGTCAGTTTACTGAATAATTTTCTTTTTGTTCCGTTTAAGTGAGAGAGCTGAGCTTGCCGGCCCACTGGTGAGATAGTAGGCCCAACTGAAGCAAATCTGGTTATTCTGGGCTATATATAACTCCCAGCCTTCTCAGGAATTTTACTGCACCCTGGAACCAGTGTAACTGGGGAGCAAAGGACTACCTGGGTGGTAAATGAGAGGTCATGTTGAATGAGACAAAGCTTGTGTGGCAAAGAAAGATATTCTAATCAGGTCCTCTGTCTATTAGTAAGCTGCCGAAGACAAGAATTTATTTTTCTTGGTCTATACATTGTTTATAGAGCTTTTGTAAATACTGTAAATTACGTGTTTCACCAAGATCAGCTGTTTGCTGTTCCTGTGTAAAGTGCTGTGGACTACAGGGAGTCACACACCACTGCCAGGCTAATCTCTCATGATACTTAACCTCCCTGGAGGTATTCCCGAGTGTAGCTCGGGGTAAAGTTTCAGCACCACAAGCGGTAACCCCGAGCTACACTCAGGAATACCCTGAAGTGCCGATTCGGGATCTCTTCTTCACTTACCTTGTCCTGCACTCCCGCAATGTCCTCCCTACAGTGTCCCCGGCAATGTCCTCCGGCCGATGCCAGCATCTGTCTTCCATGTTCCGTTCCCTGTGACGTCAGGACAGAACTGGTGGGAAATTTGAAAATTGTAGAAGTCACATTCACTAAATTCACTAAAATCACATAGTAAAACATTGCTGTTTCAAATACATTTTGTCCCTAGTGCTTTGTCCTGTGCCCTGCCTGCATTTTTACTGTTCTTTCTGCCTTGAAACTGAGAAAAGTCCATGGCATCCAAAAAGTGTCCCTTTAGGTCAAAAGCGGTTTTAGATCAGCTAGAGAACAGCGATAGTAAATTAGAACTACTTGCAGAATTGAATGATAATGATTCATGGGGAAATTCGTCATCAGAAACTGAAAACGATTTTGCGACTTTGCTTAGTGATGTGGGAACTGGCGCTCTGTTTAAAATTTCAGTGTTTTTGGTTTGATTATATTATTGAATTAAATTTATTATTATTATATTATTATGTTTTATGATTATTTAGTAGCCTCCCTGGCGGTATTCCAGAGTGTAGCTTGGGGAAAAGTTTCAGTACAACAAGCGGTAACCCCGAGCTACACTCGGGCTTACCATGCGTCGCTGCTCCGGGATCTGTTCTTCTCTTACCTTGTCCTGCGCTCCTGCGATGTCCCTCCTGCAGTGTCCCCGGCAATGTCCTCCAGCGGATGCTGGAATCTGTCTTCTGGGTTCCGTCCCCTGCGACGTTGGGATGTACAGGGGAAGGAACGGCAGGAAATTTGAAAATGACAAAAAGTGACATTCACTAAATTCACTAAAATCACATAGTATAACATTACTGTATCAAACCATTTCACATACATTTTGTCCCTAGTGCTTTTTCCTGTGCCCTGCCTGCATTTTTACTCTTCTTTCTGCCTGGAAACTGAGAAACGTCCATGGCATCCAAAAAACGTCCCTTTAGGTCAAAATCGGTTTTAGACCAGCTAGAGAACAGTGATAGTAAATTAGAACTACTTGCAGAATTGAGTGATAATGATTTGTGGGGAAATTCATCACCAGACACTGAAATCAATTTTGCGACTTTGCTCAGTGATGTGCGAACTTGGCGCTATATTTAAAATTTCAGTGTTTTTGGTTTGATTATATTATTGAATTAAACGTATTATTATTATATTATTATTTTTTATGATTATTTATTAAATTCTAATTTATGATTTGTGTTTCAAATTTTAACATACCCGGGATGTTTACTAGACTTGTTCGGACAGATTTCAGTGAGTTATTCCTAAAAATTACAGGCCTACAATAAAAAAAATACATATTTCCATGCAAAAAAATGTACCGCTTTGAGCACAGAAATATGGACATAATCAGACCGCTAGGGAGGTTAAATTATAATTTATGATTTCGTGTTTCAACTTTTAACATACACGGAATGTTTACTAGACTCTTGTTCGGACAGATTTCAGTGAGTTATTCCTAAAAATTACAGGCCAACAATAAAAAACGACATATTTCCATGCAAAAAAAAGTACCGCTTTGAGCACAGAAATATGGACATAATCAGACCGCTAGGGAGGCTACAGGGGAACAGGCTGACTGCCGGAATCAGCAGTGCTGAATGTAGAGATTATGATTTAAAAACTAGCTCTGACACTAATGGTATCCTGAAAGGGTGTGACAGCTCTGTGTACTGGGGCCACTTGTAACATGGATGATGGCAACACCTAGCAATGGTCTGGGGGCTGTTTCACCTAATGCATGTAGGAGAACTTTCCATGGATAATTCAATAAATCGGTAAATAATACATGTTCTGTCTTGGCATCGGTTGTACTTGTGGTGAGATTCGTTTAGACCCAGTCTGTCAGAATGTGTGCAGCAAGTTGAATGATCGCCTTAACAGATAGTTTACTCAATGAATAACAACTTCAGAGGTATTTTCCAATGCTTCTTTATGCTTCAAGGTAACAAAGGTGTGAACATAAAGGTGTTTTCATAGTTAAATTTCCAGTGCTGTCACATAGCCTCCTCACTCTACAGCATCTTGATAACCACTAAACTAAAATGGTGTTACAACAGGAAATGAAGGTGGAAGCAACCAACTAGTCAGAAACAGCAGGGGTGTGTGGATAATACCAAATAACATTATATCATAACATGTAAATAACAACTGCTAAACAGTAAAGCTGCGTGGCAGCACAATACATGCATTACACAAATTATTTTAAATATGATTAAATAAAAAATCCATAGCTGCATTTATTGACCTGTTTACTATCACGAAAGCGGATCTTGCTGTTTCTATGTAAATTGACACTAGCAGAACAGCATCTGCAGTGTTAAAATGATTTACGATGTAGCAGTGTTATTTTGTTACATTGTAAATACTCTGGTTTATTCATAGCATATTAAAGGGGAGACATATAAGCTGCATATGACCTCAGTTAGGACTCGTTCACACCATGGTGCAGAGACTTCAGCTTATCTGCAGGCATTCTGCAAGGACACAATGAAATCAATTGTTCTCTATGTGCCCTGTTCGACCACAACACTAGTATCATGTACAGATTTTTTTCTGTACAGGAATCTGCAACCTGTATAAAACTCATTGATACGCACATGAATACTGATATAAACTCCTGTCTTTGCAAGTGAAATCTGCGTGTTGTTTCCATCACTTTTTCTGCACATATGGTGTGAATGAGGCCTGACCGAAACCTTGCAAGTTAAAAAAAAACCTGTATTCTCATTTAACGCTTTGTCAATACTAATCAGGCCTAATAACTCACTCCTCTCTTTAGCTATTATATTTCATCTAAATATCTATGATAAAGAAAAATCAAACATTTTTTCATTGGCTTTGCTTTAATTTTTTAGCACTGCACTTTAAAAAGATGCAGAAAATTGAAAAATAAGCCTTACTTTTATTTTTAACCTATTCTCACCCGGCCAATAGCAGAATGATGGCCGAGCGGGACTCTCGTCGATCTGGGTGGACATGTGTGCTCGCAGTGCCTCACTGTGGCGAGATCTGTCACCGGCTGTGTACCTTTGGCACAGCCAATGACAGATCTGTGTACCGGCCTGTTGCCAATATCATGTGACCTGCTGTGACCAATCACAGCAGATCACATGACAAATGTAAACAATGGATGGCTTCCTTTCATGCCATCCATTGTATACAATTGTGTCACTAGCTGTGATTGGTCACCGTGATCACATGCACAGACTGGGCCAATCACAGCGCATCTGTATCATGTGATTAACCGTGGCCAATCACAGCTAATCGCAACAAGAAAAACCTCAATGAATCGATTTCTTTCAGTTAAATGCTTGCTTATAGCAAAGATATCATTTGCTATAAGCAATCATAATGTGTAAAAAAACAAAAAAAAAAAAACTAATCACTGCCACAAAGTAGTACAATATTACTATGGTAAAATTATACTACTCTGGTCACAGTGCAATATGAAAAAAAAATCTTAAAAAAAAGAAAAAAATTAATTAAAAAAATTGTGTAAAACATTTTTTTTAATTTCCTAATTTTCCAAAAAATGTAGACAAAAAAATTGCAACTACGAAAAAACTCACCATGCCTCTTATTAAATACCTGAGACTGTTTACTTTGTAAAAAGGGGGTCATTTGGGGGATATCTGTACTGTTGTGACATTTTTGGGCCTCAAGAAATTAGATTGGCCATCAGTACTTCAAGATTGCTCAATTTTCAGATGTATCCCTTAGTTTGTGAACTCTATAACTTTCCTACAGACTAAACAATAAGTACTGATTTGGGTTATTTTCACCACAGAAATGTAGCAGAATACATCTCGGCCTAAATTTATGAAGAACAATTATTTGTTTGCAAACTATTATAACAGAAACAAAGAAAAACATGTTTTTTTTTTTTCAAAATTTGTGGACTTTTTTCATTAATTTAGCAAAAAATAAAAACCCCAGTGGTGATTAAATACCACCAAAGGAAAGCTCTAGTTGTGTGAACAAAATTATAAAAATTTAATTTGGATACAGTGTTGCATGATCGCACAATTGTCATTCAAAATGTGAGAGCACTGAAAGCTGAAAATTGGCCTGGGCAGGAAGGAGTTAAAAGTGCCCAGTATTGAAGTGGTCAAATAGATTTGCTATGCTTTGCAATAGCAACATAAATTAACATATTTCATTATTTTAAGTTTTTTTTTTTATAGAACTAGGAATAAAAGACAGTAACAAAGTAAAATAAATTAGCTAAAGTCACAGTACACATATTACTTTCATATATAGAAACAATTAAAGAAACAGAAAGAACACTAAATGAAAAACTAAACTACTCTCAATACAACCACAAATAACACTCTGTAAATAGAGTAGATGTCTTTCCAAGCAAATTGTGCCTAAGCAGCTTAACCAGTCTAATTAAAAGTCTGCAAAATTTAACTCAGTGAAATCAGTAATTTTGTCACAAAATCAATTTTGCTGATATCATTCTGATCATCCATAGTGTGGATGGGCTGCTGAATCTAATGTACTGTAAATCCTTTGGAAAAAACACAAAATACTCTCATTTGCTGCTTTAACACAGTAAAAAATACTTTCAATGGTGGATTCTTGCCTACGTACAGCATATACAATAAACTAGTCAGGAATCTGAGACTTGCACTTTTGTTTTTAGTCCTTTTTGTCATTCACTAATATATCCTTAAAGCAGTCCTGCAGGATTTACTGCTTTCCTGTATCTGTGTGTCCAAACATCCCAGGGTTTTCTATTTGCAGTTATAAACACTAGCAGTTATTAAAAGCACTGTCTGTGAATGTGATGAATGATGACTAAAAGGGGGGATATACTGTTTTCAGCGGATCACTAGAGGAAGCTTTCAGCTACTCACTGCAATTACTCTATCTGGACAATTAATGAAGAATATAGAAGTTTACTTTTATCCTGAAGCCAGAGAAGTCAGATAGACAGAAAAGCAGAACCATTATGTAACACTCCAAATCAGAAAGCAGAGACTGCCTATGTAATGAGCAAAAACAGCTGCTCCTGTAGAAAATATTGTTTTTCTCCATTTATAATTAGGAACGATAGAAATAAATAAATGCGTGAATAGGTAGGCGCTGCAATAACCGTGCATCAAAAAATGAGAACAACTAAGCAACTATGTGAACTCTCATCATCTAACAAATTAATTTGAACAAAATACAATATGTGGTGAACACAAAATATATAGAGTGACAGTCCCATAAAAATGTAGTCCCGTAAACCAAAAGGTATGCTCTTTCCCCATGTGCAGACAATAATTGAATTTCTCACTCACCAGAAGAAATTGACCCCGGTTAAGGTGGTCAAGTACCCCTTTATTATTTTAGAAGTGGAAAACCCAGTTACCCCTGCGCTTGGGGATGGACTCAATGTCATTAGGACCACATAATGAAAATCTTGGGATATGCACGCCTTGGTGCCCTCAAAGGACAGGGGGAGTCCAAAAGTACTGAAAAGAGAAAAACAAATAGAGGGTGCACCGGCCTAGTGCATTACCTTAAAAATATGTTTAATTAATGTAAATAATAGGTATTGTACTCACAAATAGTCAATAAATGAAAGGCACATCATAAAGGAACAGCTCTGTCCAATTGATAATTGATAAATAACTTATAAAACAGGTCTATATCCTGTCTCCTCCTCTCCCCTTTATTTCTTGCTATATAGCCCAACTGTTAAGCAAGGCTATAAAAGCCACGTGACCCTGTGGCACAATGCGTAGGGGAGGGGCTCTGATGTCACAATGCCATCCATATCAGCAGAACGGGGAGTACTGATAGTGCTGTCCGCCCTATAGCAGAAATACTGCTACAAGGTAGCACGGGTGCGCATGTATATTTATGTGATTTTGCAGTTCCGGGTAGGGGGCACATGCGATTTGCGACCTCGACTGTCAATCACCGGGTCCCGGAAGGTGATTACTCGCCGGCACTCGGTGATCACTGAGTAATACCGACGGGGGGAGAGAACTGTATGTAAACAACATAGTTCTCTCCCCTGTCAGCTCCTGCACACTGTTTTGTATAGCTCTGCTATACAATGAAGCACACACACAGCACATGATGTGAAACAGCACACAGCTCACAGTTAACTCTTTGACCACCCCAGATGTTAGCCCCTCCTGCCCAGTGCCATTAGTACAGTGTCAGCGCTTTTTATTAGCACTGATCACTGTATTGGTGTCACTGGGGATGTCAGTGACACCAAGTCAGTTCCTCCCCAGTGTCAGAATGCCCACTGCAGTTCTGCAGTCCCGCTATAAGTCGCTGATCACTGCCATTACTAGTAAAAAAAAAATCCACTATATACCCTGCCATTTGTAAACGTTATAACTTTCACGTAAACCAAATAATTTACATGTATTGGGATTTTTTTTAAAAAAAAGACATGTCACAGAATACATTTTGGCCTAAATTTATGATAAAATTTGATTTTTTAAATTTTTTACTGGGCATGTTTAAAAGCAAAAAGTAAAAAATAGTGTTTCAAAATTGTCTTTTTTTTCTTTTTATAGCGCAAAAAATAAAAAAACCAAATAGGCAATCAAATACCACCAAAAGAAAGCTCTATTCAAGGGGAAAAAATGATGTAAATTGAATTTGGGTGCAGCGTTGCACGACCGCGCAATTGTCAGTTAAAGTAACGGAGCGCCGTATCGCAAAAAATGGCCTGGTCAGGAAGGGGGGTAAATCCTCTGGAGGGCAAGTTAAAACAACCCAAATAAGAAAATTATAAACACACTGGGACCCAAGAACTTGTGCTACTCTTCTACTATAACTGTTCACCTCCTCTTGCACCCCTCTTTCACCACTGCTCACTTGAAATGTTAAGTCATAAACCCCTACTATACTCTCATAGACAGGGTCACAGAATGAAAAACCCTCTGTGAGGCCTGCTTTTCTGGATTTCATACCTTTTTTTTATGGACTTGGTATTGCAATTATTTATGTGAATGCTGTTAAAATGCAGGCTGCACCTAAAATGAATACCATATCTACTAAAATGCCCTTTTCAAGATGCAGTACTAGAAATACATCAAATCACATATAAAAATAAAAGTGCCCTCCCCTGTATATCATAGCGCAGAACAAACCTTGACAAATTTGGGAGGTGGTCTGTGATCATCCCCCCAACTAACAGTACAGTGTTCTTCCCTACCTATAGTCCCCACACCAAATGACCAAAACTCACATTTTGGTGTGGACCAAACCTAAAATATTTTAGTATGGTCAGACTCATTGATATACCCAATACAAAGGAAGTACAGAGCAGTACAAATTGTAAAACCGTAATGATATTTTATGAAAACAGCAAATGAGCTGCAGTTACAAACTCATGTGCTCCCACTTTGTGCACACAAAACAAAAGCATGTGTTACAAAATCCTGTTCTCTTGATGACTTCAGCCAGCTGCTGTCACATTATAGGCTCGGTAGATTCCACTCGAGTACTACTTCCAGGTGTGTGTACATGCATGTCTGAGCTTTGCCCCTCACATTTCATGACCATGGAAATGATCAGGTTGATTCCCAAGGAAATCCATAGTGGCACAAAGCATAGGGCAGAGCTTGGAGATGCATGAACACACACCCAGAAGTAGACCAGGGAATTGAATTGTGGGCATTGCCCACAAGCACTATGGAAGTGGAGGGTGTTGAACTGTATCAATGATGTCAAACTAAAAAAACTTTCATGAGTAGTTACAGCTCAGTTGCAACTCTTGGTTTACGAAACAATTTTGACATTTCTCACATACAGTACATGTTAAAATCTGCATTAGAAATCAGAAACATATATTTTTGAAAGTAGAGGCCCTGGAGAACGAAACGGTGGTTGTTGCAATTTTTTATGTCACACAATATTTGCACAGCCATTTTTAAAACTCAGATTTTCAGGAAAAAATACACTTTACAAAAAAATGTGTTTTTGGTGCACTACAATTTGTTAAACTATAAAATATGATGTTACATCAAGTAAGTAGATACCTAACATAGCAAACTTTAAAACTGGGCACAACCATGGAATAGTGACAAACTGCAGTACAATAAATTATTCATAGGTGATGCTTTAAAAGCATACAATAAAAATACTCCTGCTCTGCCGCTAGTGACTTAGAAAAAATATTATTTAGATCAAATGTGCTCACAAATTTCCCGCCAGCCAAGAAATTGCCTCTGAAGCAGGAAAAAAAACATATAATGCAGCGCTGTACAACATTAAAAAACAAAATTGATAGTAAATAAAGTGACAATAGTGACAGATTCAAAGTGAGGCGCTCTGAAAATAGCGCTAAAGTGAATAATAATACATATGTGTCACACTAAATAACATTGAGTAAGTGATGTCTAAAAGTTAATATAAAGTGACAATAGTGAACAGTCCAATATAAAATAAATGAATGAGATCATCCAGATGAATATCAAATAAATGTCATGGTCATGGTATGGCAATAACATTCACTTTAGCGCAATTTTCAGAGCGCCTCACTTTCACTCTGTCATTATTGTCACTTTATTTACTATCATCTTGTTTTTTTAATATTGTCCAGCACTGCATTATACGATTTTGTTTTATGTTTTTGAGGATATAGGGGTTCAGCCTTTTATGCTAGCTGCTTTGTGTAAATCCGTGCACTCACTTCTTTTGCCTTTAAGAAATTACCTCTGCTGATATTTTTGACAAAATGTAAATGTGGAAGAGGAGTTGAGTGAATCACAGAGGAGATTTGTACAAAGTGATAAGAAGAAGATTCACATGTAACTTCCAGTGCGTGGGATTGATAATATCTTTTATGGAATTTATATAATTTGGTTTTGTGTAAAAGTTCCTCCTTGTATGTTATATCTTCTCTATTGCTTTAAATACTAATTTAAAGTGGTTGTAAATCTCAGACATGAAATATGAACAAAGAATATACCTCTATAGTGTGTACTTGTCTCTACCTAGAGCCAGGGGCGGACTGACCATTTGGAAACTCAGGCACTGCCCGAGGGCCCGGGGTCAGTAGGGGGCCCCATGAGAAGCCCCTGGTACCTTTTTCATAGGCTTTTTTGAGTTTGGGCAAGGACACAGGGGCCCCATGATCCCCTATTGCCCGGGGGCCCCATGAGTTGTGAGTCCGTCCCTGCCTAGAGTGCAGAGTGTTATTTCTGTCTGCTGCCTCGTTTCTCTGCTATTTGCATGACAAGTTTTCCTGAGACAAGAGAAAAAAGGTGACAGGGAGATATCTCCAGCAGATTGACAGCCTCAGCTCTGTTCCTGTGTGCAAGGGGGTGTGTCCCTTCCCTCCAATCAGCTCTCAGAGCCCTCCTCGGTGATCTCTGCAGTGTGTAATTTCAGCTCTCTGCCCCCGTTTTCTAAAGTCTCAGACAAGCTTTATAAATTTCAAACAAGCTTTATAAATTCTGGACTTTGAAAGGATGTAGAGAAGAGAAGACTGGAGATAAACAGGTACAGTTAATGCTGAAGGAGGAGGTGTATCACCTGAGACCAGTCATTTCACTGGGTATATGTAAGGATCTACAACCACTTTAGGTAATAATAGTAAAAATCTGTTTACTGTATGCGTTGGAAACCTGTGCTACCTATTCGTCTATTTATGTGCTGTGATATTTTAGACAGTTTAAATGGTAACACCACTTTTGCGGGAAAAAAATATTGCAAAATAAAAAAAATCTAGTTTATACAATTGTGACACAAGCTATACTGTAATTTAATGTTAATAAAAGATATCTTTTCAATCTGCAGTGCTGTGTTTTCTGTAAAAACAATGCAATACAGCAACCTGGAGCTATTGTATACACAGTTAATGAATGGAATCTCCCCAGAAATACCATATCCTGCTTGTGTGATTGGCTCACATATTCTATCAAAAATATGGTGCAGGTCAGATTTTAAGCATCCTCTGCAACAAAAAAAAAATCATTTTTGGTGAAATGCTGCTAAAGGGATATTTACTTGAAGACTATACCACTCTTCTCATTAATGCACTGCAAATGCATCAACTGAAAAACAATGAAAAAGGCAATCACATTCAGAATCTGTATCCAACAGACATAGATAAACAAACAACCTTCTCTTCAGAGGAGAAACAGGTGGGAATCTGCAACAAAGGTGTCAGTTTATAAAGCAGCAGTAATTGATCACTGCTGAGTTCTCTGGCCTTCTTAGAGGAGACAACTCTGACTGTTTATGAAGCGGTGTAGATCGCTTCTCCTAATGAGGAGAGAAGCAATCTACAAATGCTTTGAACTCTGGAAAATGGCTGGTATTGCTGTAATCTCGCAAGATATAGCGAGATTACAGAAACAAACGATCAGTAAAACACTACCCATCAGTTTATTAAGTTGGCGGCTCTCCTCAGTACACACATACATAATAATAAAAACGTGAACTTTAATGGCATCCCAGTTTTAGTCTGTAGGGTTCAAAATTGAGTTGGCCCACCCTTTTCAGCTACAACAGCTTCAACTCTTCTGGGGAGGCTGTCCACAAGGTTTCGGAATGTGTCTATGTTTGACCATTCTTCCAGAAGTGCATTTGTGAGGTCAGGCACTGATGTCGGTTGAGAAGGCCTGACTCGCAGTCTCTGCTCTAATTCACCCCAAAAGTGGTCTAGTGGGTTGAAGTCAGGACTCTGTGAAGGCCAGTTAAGTTCCTCCACCCAAAACTCGCTCATCCATGTCTTCATGGACCTTGCTTTGTGCATTGGTGTGCAGTCATGTTAGAACAGGAAGGGGCCATCCCCAAACTGTTCCCACAAAGTTGAGAGCATGAAAATGTCCAAAATGTCTTGGTATGCTGACACCTTAAGAGTTCCCTTCACTGGAACTAAGGGGCCTAGCCCAACCCTTGAAAAAAAAACCCCCACACCATAACCCTCCCCCCATCATACTTGGCACAAAGCACTCAGGCAAGTACCGTTCTCCTGGCAACTGCCAAACCCAGGCACATCCATTGGATTGCAAGAAAAAGAAGCGTGACTCATCACTCCAGAAAACACGTCTCCATTGCTCTAGTGTGGCGGTATG